ATATTCAGCCTCATGGATCCCGAATAACTTACATACTCTACAACAACCTTCACCCAGTTGTCTCTGCTGAAGGCGGTTCACAAATAATTTGACTTCTGTGAGGATGCTGCCAAGGCCAATATCACTCTGCGCTTCGTACAAAGACAGTTGGTCGCCGTCACCCGACAAATGTTCATGGAGCTCTCGAATGAGTATGCACGGCCTCATCTTGAAACTCAAGAAGTCGTTGAATTTGTAGATCGCCAATGTAGATGATCTATGTCGAATGATAAGCGGTTTACTCAAGTTAGTTGGGAATGAATTAACGAACCAGCTAACTTCGAAGTCACACTTCGCGGTACTCATCTAACGTGAGTTACCACTTCGATTTATCAAAGTATTATGGCTGCTTTGAAGACCGTATAACACAAAGGACGTTATTGAGGAAATATATTGGTAAGAATGAGTACAGAGATAGAGACCACCACCATATACGCCAGTCCATGACATGCGATTAAGTGATGCGCGTCAGTCGTCTTTGACCTTGGCAAAGAACAATTATCTGTTCGATATTCAATGACCCAACTGCCGGATGACTTGGCTAGGCTCAATGACATTTCACTGACCATACAAATTCCCCTTTTGAAAAGTGACATAAATCTCTTAAGTACAGGGCTGGTTAATAAGTGGGTGATAAGTCTGATCAACAAATCTTATGAAGATAAACTTCGAAACTTGGTGTTTTGCAAGAGAGTGGGAATTGACTTGATAGTGACCCATCATCACCCTTACACGAAACTCATAGAAGAAAACCAGCCTGAGCTCCTACAGCCAACCTCCGCACATCAAGGATCGAAAACTCGGGCACATCCCTGTTTGGAATGCTCTCCGAGTCAAAGTGATCACAGCCCTTATAATGAATAGCTTCATGAGGAGACTGGACGAACGCACACTCACCCATGGATTATCATTTAATCCTTACACAATCTGTACCTGGTTTGTGTCTCACGGCTTATTCGCTACTATCGATACCACGTCCCATCAGCCAATTCCTATCTCAGTTTCAACAATCACCACCTCCTTTTTACTCATACACTTCAGTTTGTTCAGATCTACTCATTACTAATCATTTAACTTAATTGACACATGAAACAACCATATATCCTCAATAGTAGAATTTTCTAATTCAACCAACTCCCTCCCTGAAATCATGATAGCCAGTGGTTTAGAAAACATGCTGGGAGCGCAGATAGATGCGTAGATTTGTAGATCACTAACGTAGATCATCTGTGTCAACTGATTGAAGGCTTACTTGAGATAGACGGTGATAGTGTGATGAAATAGCTTACTTCGAAGTCACTTTATGCCGTCAGAACCTAACATGGGTTACCTCATTGTTGTTTTCAGATGCTGTGGCTGGTTTAATCACCGTACAACACAAAGGGTGTTATTATAGAAATATATTAATAGGAGTAGGTGTGGAGATATGACTGACAAGCTTATTTTATTATTATTATTAATTGGCACGACACCATTTTTTTGTTTTTGGCATTATGAACTCTCCTAATAAACTTATCGATATAGATAGCCCATCAACCAACCCCTTTCATTCATCACAGCCAGAAGATAATGTTTTAAACTCAATCAACGCTATTTCTGAACTAAGATTCCCAACATTTGGTGAGCCTCGATTATTTTTTTATAGACATTTAATTTATATATTGTTTGGTCTACCACATAGGTACAAAGAATAATGTGCAACGACCACCGCCCAAACAAGTCCATGGCGTGCGATTATTTGATGTGTGTTGGCTGTCATTGAACCTAACAAGGATCGGTGAACCGTTCGACATTCAGTGAACCGACTGCCGAATGATTTGGCTTGGGCCCAGAGACATTTCACTGGTCTTACACATTTATACCAGCTCGTTATATAGATAGTGTATATCAAATATTGGAAGACCATCTAAAAATTATCGGATGTATTGAATATTTTCTGAGATTAACATTTTTGTATCTATTCAGGAGTCTTATGGAAAATGTTATGTGGGAATCGATGTTTGTTTGTTTGTATCAATATCGTCACTACTTCCAATAAGAAGGGTAAAGTGGGGGTAAAACAAAGGGGTTGTTGTAATGACATATTATTTATGCGATATTGATTTGAATAAGTGTCTTGACTTCTATTTTAGTACTAAATGATTTTTAAAATCAATTATTGTGTACGGATGCGTTCTGTTCTTAGGCGGGGAAAAGAGATTTAGTCACTGTCGACCCGTTAGTCTAACCAGTACAGTTGTCTAACTAATGGGAAAGATTATTCGGATGACTGTTATAAACCATGTGGAAGGGCATAATTTTTTTACGGGGAACAACAAGATTTTCGTAAAGGCTTATCATGATTGACAAATCTGCTAGTTGCAAGCGGAGATTGGGACGTAGCAAAAGGCCGAAGAATCCTTGTAGATGTGATTTCCATAGATCTCAGTAAAGCCTTTGATTAGGCCTTCCATTCGGATCCTAAATTAAAACTGGAAAGTTTCGGAATCCATTATAAAATCATAGACTGGCTTAGTGACTGTCGATGATAGGAGGAAGCAGGCAAGGGTAAATGGAGCACTCAGTGTGGGGACCTTTAAAAATAAAGGTTCCTCAACGTATAATCCTTGGTCTTCTTTTTTACATTCTTCAAATGAATTTTCAACTGTAGCGAAGTCATCCGTCCTACTCTTCGCTGATGATAAAGATTTGGAGACCTATACACACCATGTCAGATAAAATTATATTACAGGATGATCTCAATTCGTTGGTGGCATGGACTAGTGGGTGGTCACTAGAAATAAATTTCAACAGGAGTGTGGTGATGCAACAACTTGTGTCACCCAAGATAATGGACTATAAAGATTTAGGAGTCATAATAAGCAGCGACTTCGAAACAATGGGCAACTGCAAGGCTGCTGCTGCCAAAGGCTTTGGGGCATTATGAGCTCTTCGTAGGTCTTTCCAGTACTTGGACGAAGAAATGATTAGAGTATTATACCCAACCTTCGTGAGACCGCATCTAGAATATGGATAACCATAGTCCATGTGGCCCATATTGAACTCATTTGTTTGTAATACTGTAAATCCGGCCTCTTCAGATCTGCCCCTAAATGGTTGTTTTGTTATTTAATTTCTCAGGGAATAATCTATTGTTTGTAGATCCATTTATTTCAGGGACTCAACAGTTATTCAGTTACAACGCTGACAAATTACTGGCTCTTAAGCACCTCGAGTGATATTACTTAAAGGTTTAAAATTCTTTTCCCTTCATAATGCAAAATATGTTATTTCAATTCTGGTAGGTTCAAGTGTTTAGTTTAGTCATAGATTGTAAATCAGTCTGTATCAACAAAGTCAACTTTGATTCATAATAAAACGATGGCTATCGGGTTGATGGATGTAAAAATCTCAGTATATGTTCGGGAACTTTATTTAAATCTTACTAAACATCTCCTGTGCCACAGGTGACATATCTACTTCTCAAAGGGTTGGTATATTGCATGGTAGTTTGCCCTATGACACTTCACGCGGATAAATATTGACTTTTTGAAGCATCTGGTATGAACAGGTTACATGTATTCGATAAGTTGCTTCAAAGCATTGTTCAAAGATAATTGGATAGGTAATGCAGAAGTAAAAACTAGTAAGTGGAAATGATGAACTAGCTAATAAGGTAAACCCAACACGCTAAATCTACCAGCCGCCACTTATTATGGTGCTGCTATAAGCTAGTCAATGGAAAATTAAAAGAGGATCAGGTTAAAACAGTATTGGTTCACAAGGTCATTCGTTGTTAGTGTAGACTAAGTCGGGAGTTACAGATGTTTTGGTTTGGGTTCACGAAATAGTTATGACGTTGAAGATTTCGAATTACTACCAAGAACAAGTGTTACTGACGTCGATGCATCAATTCTTCATATTCCTTTGGCTTATCAGTTTTGCTCCTTTTGAAGTGTTTTATATCTAGTTTTCAACCGCCAAAGCTGTTATTTGATAGAATAAAGCGACCTGCATAATTTTGTCAGGTCCTATGTAATTACTATCTATCTGAATGTGACCCATCGGTTCTCATTTGAATGCCTAAACAACAGAAGCGTAGCTTGACAGGTAAATAAATCCCTTTTAAAATTATCAATTATGACTTAAGCTAGCTAGTTCCATACAATATAACAAATTTTAATTTTGTGAAAATTGTTATCTCAAAAGCTTGACTTTTAAAATAGTAGTGGAACAATAGAAAGATTAAATTGGTTGATTCTATACACTTGCAAATAGTTAATACAGGTCCTATTGTCTATGTATTTAACTCACATACTACAAATTTATGCAGTTGCTTTGAGCTACACCATATTATACCTTGTGATACTAATCGGTCAGCAAAAACTGAAGTAGACAGTAAAGTTTAAACCGGTTGGAATCAAAATGTTTTAATCGCTAAACTGTGGACTCATATCAACTTAAAAAATTGTATCCACAGTTTGCCTACAGTATCTGTAACCTGACATAAATTTACTCATACCCGCTCTTATCTATCCCATAAATATTTTTCGTTTATTCAACCGTAGTATTTTTCACATGAATGTAGGTGCTGAATGTTTGCTAGTTTCCTTATCTTTTGTTTGCCTAACATTTGTCAATGTATTTAGTTCGTTCGATTGCACTTGTCCCAACCTATTTATTGTTTAGTTCCCCATATGTTGTCAGTAACCTACTAATTTATTACTGGGTTCTCTTTGTTAGTCTGTTACTATCATCATATTACTTCATAGTTGAACTTACCATCGTTATTTAAATGTGATTAGTCTAATACATGTATGAACGTAAATCCTTTCTCATTCTCGATAATATAAGTAGTTTTTTATTAGAATTTAAGAGATCAGTTGCCTTATTTTCTCTTTCATGTTCAGTAAAGTTATTTAATGTTTCACTTCATATTATTATTATGGGTTTTGCTAGCTAGTAGTATTTTCAGTTAACTTTTTTACTTTAGCATGAAGTTATCCAAGTTTTCTTAATAAGTTATTTTCTGTCATTTTAGTTATGTTAGATGAACTACCGCATCGAATTAATTGGAAAGACAGTAATACTACTATTGGGAGTGGTTTAACAACGACTGGTTTTCATGAAACGCACAAGGAAAGATTTGAAGATTGTGTTGGAAGTTGGACGAACCTAGAAGATTGCAGACTGCTTGATCATGTCTCTCGATTGGGTGAAAATCGTTGGAATCTTATTGGAAAAAAGCTTGGCAAGTCAGCTTTTCAATGCTCAGAAAGGTAAATGATGGTAAATTATTGTTTTCCCGTTTCGTCTAAATAAAATTTCTCCAGAAATTAAATTTGCCTTACGGTGTGTTTATAGTTCTGAATGTACTAAAGTTCATTAATTTAATTCATGATTTAGTCACATTACTTCCATTTTTTGGCCACATTTTCAAGTTCCAACTTTATATCGTAAACGACTATGATTACTCTTTAATACTTTTTGTTTATGAATCTTGTGCAAGCTGACGAATGATTCCAGTTACAGAATAACCTGTTAACTCGATTAATTGCTTTGTCTTTCATGACAACGATAGGCTTCTACTTGTGCAATGATTAGTATTCACTAAGATACGGAGGGGGGAAGTATCTGTGAGCAAGTACGTTTTGGCATCAGTACAAATGCCAACTAAGCGATAAATTTCAAACAACCACCATCCATATTACTGGCTTGATATTCTATAGTGTAGGTTTTAAAAAATTCAATTCCCAAAACGATTCTGATTTTGTACCTGACTATCTGATTTTAACCATTGTTCACCATATGATGATAAAAAGCTTTATTCATTGGATAAGATTTCAGTATTATATTATATGCTAACAAAATACTTCGACAACTTATATGTTGATTGGAAGCTATTTAAGTTAATCAATTAAGTGAAATTGTAGTAAACGGTTTCTCTGTGGTTCACATCGTAATTTATGGATTCACATGTACTTAGAATCTCGTTTGTTGTTTTATGTTTCTCCCTAACTCCTTCAAATCGATTAATGTAGTATGGTAATGTAAGCGTTTTACTTGTTAACTTAAGTAATGTATTAAGTCTGCCTCCCAACCTATTGAGTGTAAATATGGTTCAAGACTGACTTAGTTTCATGCATGAACTATATTGGTAGTGAAACTATTCTGTGTAAGGTACAGTTAATATATACTACAATCGGTCAACCTGAGAAAGTTATTTTAAATTGACCAATTGAGGTATAACATGACTATCCAAAGTCAATCCGCTTATATTTTTTTCAAAAACCTTGACATATGAGTTTTACATTTAAAACTGACATCTATTTGAAATCTTTATAAAACTAATTCACTCGGATCGATCACTTTTTTTTAGATATTTGAAGCATTTACGTCCTCAAATGTTAGGATCCAGTAAAACCTATACAACTCTAATACAACATAGAGCTATACCACAAACAATTCTCAATTCAGATCAAAATTCAACATGGACAAAAGATGAAGACTCAACTCTCCTCCAGTTGTATTTAACATATGGATCCAATTGGGAGTTAATAGCTAATCGCCTAACCACTAGTGGTAGTTCGCATAAAAAACGAACTGCTGTAGATGTAAGACAACGATATGAAAAAGTTGTTCTCCAATATTGGCCCAATTATGATCAAGAAAATCGTCCACTCTCTAGTTTACTGTTTCGTAATTCGCTGTAAGTTTATCTTGTTGAAACAAGTTCTTATTTGCACTTATCATAAATGTAACCCAAGGAATTCACACAAATCCCCACAGCTAATTAAGTCATAGTTTGAACTTACAGTCTAGTACTTCAAAACGAAGTGATGGCTTATTTATTAAAGCACTCAACTTTTAAATTTTTAGCTGTGGGTTTAAACCATGCTTCAATTACCTGACTGGGAATAATCAGGTTGTATCAAAAGTGTAGTTCACTGATAAAAAAATATATTTCCGTCTAGTTACTACTCATATGTAAGTTAATTTTTATATTGTTTGTTGAGATATTGTTCTTGTTTTGATGATCACAACATAAAGTTAATGGGTTTCTTAATATCGCATTTCTAATCGACTATAGGGAGCGACGTAGTTGAGTATGTCGATCGCTTTACTTATCTTGGGAGTCTCACCAGCCCTTGTGGTCTGATGTGTGCGCAGGTGCACCCTTTTTTTGTGTTCTCCTAAATTGTAGTCTTCTGAATTCTTCATGTTCCTTTCTTTTTTCTCTTTCCAAATTTATTTCACTGCATTATACTCCTTGAATAACATCTTCAAACCCTAATCTTCCGGATTACTGCTTTTACTTTTACTACCTCTACCACTATGGGATTAGAATCGATAACTGCATCTCTGTTCTAATGTGGTATGGCAACTCGAAGTAATATACGTACGTACGAAGTTCTACGTTGCTACTGACTGACTTTTTAATCGATTCATTAATCTGTCATGCTTTATAATTTAATAATATCATTAGCATACCACACGATAATAGCGATCAGTGGTTGAAGACGTTGGGTGACATGACCTAGGTTCGATCACATTAATGGATATTCATTCACCTTTTTTCTTTCACTACCTATACAGTCTTGGTATTCTCTCATAAATACTTTTTCTTTTCTAAACATCCTCTGTTGTATAAGGGAATAGAGCAATAATCCTAGTCCCATTTCGGGCGATTATAAATCCCTACATATAAAATATTCTTGTCTAAAATCTGTTTACTTGTTGAAGCATTATTCTACAAGTAAAATCATATGATACATTTTTAAAGTACGCCAAGATTAAATCGTAATTTCATATCACGCCTAACAATCCAACTGTTTGATTACAAAATGATTAATGTTTCCCGAGACATTAAATTGTGTAGACGAGAAAACCGAACAATATAGTGTTTTTGTTTTAATCGGATGCCCGTCTGTAGGTTTGTTACAGATTCTTATGATTATATTAATATATTTTACTGTCACTTTAGTTATTATGTACGTTCCTGACTAAGCACGTATGCAGAGGAAAAAGATCAAAACTATCAGGAGTCTTATTATCAAACGCCGAATAATAATAGCAATTAGAAATTCGTCGAATGGTTGATTATTATGGATTCAGCTAAACGGTTTATGTGGTCATAAATCCTGATCGACGAAGGTGGTTATGACATGCTTTACATATACCCAACCACCGCCTACCTCGACAAGCGGTCCTTATTATTGCATAAGTATGTTGGTTAGAAGTCTTGCGCAGCCAAACCAAAAGGTGGCATCATTCCATGAAGTTATTGACTTCTAGTCTGAACAATATTGGTAGATCCAGTCTGCGTGATAGGGATCCATGTGATGACCGCGATCAGTGGTTTAAGACTTAGTACAGACTCAATCACTTTATCTTTTTCTTAGCCTTCAATCTCAGAGTCCCTTCATACATATCTTTCTAATCTGTCTTTTCAAAACATATTCCTAATGTTTAATCTTATAATCAATGCTACTACAGTATCTCGGTCTCATTATTTTCATCTCGTTGTGCTGACCTGATATGACAACCTAGGTTAAAGAACATCTATGCCAGTCTCTATGTTGACGATGTCTATCTGTCGTCTGTCATTGGTTCGGGTGGAATTGTCATCATTGTACATGCTTAATTTACATAATCCCTTAACATACTCATAATTTCATCGAAATCACGTACCGATCAATGTTATACAACCATTGGAAATTCGGAAACACTGAATTGCCGTTTCTCCATAGTATGGGACTCCTCAGGAGTGTGTATTCACGACGACTCAACAGAAGATCAAATCCAAAGCCTTTGGACTCCATTGGATTGCGGTCCAGTGGTTTGGAAGTTAGGCGTTCACGCACGAGACCGAAGGTCTTCTGTTCGATTACAGTTGTGGGGTCGTGGATGCGCACTTCTGAGGGGTGCCCCGTAGTAAGAAGGATTGAAAGTTCAGTGTTTCCAAGTTTTCAGTGGTTATTTAACTTCGGCCGGTTCATGATTTCAGTGAAGCTCGATAATTTTGGCAACCCTGACAATATTCACAATTGTTTTTTCTTCATTTTTCCTTCCCAGATTATCCTGGTCAAATAGTTCTAAAAATAACAGTACTCACAACAACACAAGTTCAAATGATCAATCAATAATTAGTAAGAACATTCCTCGACCTACCTATCTAATCCCATTATCTTCATTAAAGTCGAATTACGATTCTACAACAAATGGAAATTGGAAAATTCGTCTGACCCAACCTATTCATCATCATGATTCAGGTGTAAGTGATGGAGAAAATATTGATTTTAAATTATAATATTAATTGCTTCAGATAAGGTAAATAGTTGATAAGAGAAGTAGATGCTTACATATCTAAAAGTCACAAAGTTCGACCTAGTTAAACTTATCAGCTTAGATTGTGTAATTGTCAGGCGAAAACAATGATATACAATGAATTCATTGTATTCAATTAACAAAATCAATTTTATTTTTATTTAAATTTGTAAAGGGAGCACCAGTGTGATAAAGTAAAGGAGGAAGAGATATGTAGGTCACTCCCTAAAGATTACTACTTAGTTTGTAACTACTTCAAACTCCTGTCTGTCTAATCAATATTATAACGCACTAGTCACTAACCGAAGTGACTGATACCTGTTGTGTAAGGCTTATCTACTTGATAAACCGTAACTAGGGTTTACAAAAAAGAAGTATATCTTTTAATTTTCAACGCTAAAACACCGTTATATATTGTCAAACACGTTGTTAGCTTCCAGCAAACTTTAATTGCAAGAGAATTGCTAACAGATCATCACTAGATCAGTAGAACAACACTGAGCAATGTTACTTTCCGTATTGGTCTTTTTTTTTCTTCGACAAATTGTTTATTTGTAATTCGAACAAATTACTGCTCAAATGTATTCAAGTATCATGTATACTGAATAGGTAAACATTTATCGATATTCGGCATGAATACCACCATCAATATAAATAGTTAAAGCTGAATCACACTTAAACGATTAGCATAGGGAATAAGACTTTCTTATTGTGTCTTTAAGCATGTTTTCTGAATCAATGATTGCGTAATCGCCAAATTTACAATGTTTTTCTGACCTATTTTTCACTAACAAAGCCTTAAGCTAAAAACACTTTGACCTTAACAATTTTGCTTAGCTTATAGTGTATGATGTTATCCTGTAGGAGGAAATAACATCTTAAAGTACAAATAAATATTGTGGATTTATTCAAATGGGTTTTGTGGATATTATAGTAATTTCAATGGTTAAGATCATGAGTCAGTTGAAGCTAGACCACCATGGGAAACCTGGAAGCACTGGACAGCCGTTTCGTCCTATTGTGGGACTCCTCAACAGTGCTCATCCACAACCTCGCCCCCCCCGCGAGATTCGAACCCAGAACCTACTGGTTAAGTGCTCGCGCACGAAACTCAGTCATAAGCAACTTAGCATATATGTGTCAAGCTAGGTTGTAACACTTTACATTAATATATATAGCTACAAGAAATCATTATGAACAATGAAAATAGTACCAAACTATTGGGAAAATCAAACATAAATGAAATTAGAAAGGAACAAATGAAATAGGGGAACAATCTATGATATTGATGCCAATTTACAGCTGTATAGTGTAGGAACTTCAATTGTCATTCACTATTATTTTTATTTGTACGTCAGCTTGATTGTTTGTATCTCTTAATACATCTCAAAACAATGTTTAGTGATTTTAAAAAAACGGATGTCATCTTACTTCCTCCCTACTCTTCTTCCGACCTACTGTACACTAACCAGCTTAACAAATCACAATTGGTATTAGCTCGTATATTTAACGCATATATCAACCACCTCAGTTGATTGAGATTCACGAAGTTATCACCCATTTTACTAATCCCACTTTATCCATCTTACATCAGTATTACTCATTTGATTGTCTTGATATTTTCGAAGTCATCCATTGTCAAATACTTGAAATCTGTATATGTAACTATTAAGTCAAGTCTCGTCTAACTCGACAATTGTTATAAAGACGAAAGTCAGTGATATTAGTTCAATTATTAAAATAAATATGCTTTATTTCATGAACAAGTAAAAGAATCCTCTTTTTTATGTGAATAATCAAACTATAAAAATGACAGGTTAAATTAAGCATTTCCGAATTATTCAACTATAACTTCATATATGTAACCAATTGAATATTGAAATTGTGTTCAAAGCCCCCAAATGCCCTGGTACGGCCGAGATTGGGGAGAATTGGTTTAAAAATCAGTTCATTATTGATAAATTTTCTTGTAAGATAATTGTCAGCATTATAATCTTGATGAGAATCTGTATATATGTATATCCTATCTCTTTAATGAGCATTAAAATGTTCTTTACAAAATTGAACAAATGGTAAACAGTCATTTTAATTGATTGTAAAACGTTTGACTCCGTTAAACTAAGTGTGTAATAATGTACAGTCAGTCAGTCAGCAACAACGTAGAACTTCGTCCGTACGTATATTAGTTCGAGTTGCCATACCACATTAGAACAGAGATGCAGTTATCGATTCTAATCCCATAGTGGTAGAGGTAGTAAAAGTAAAAGCAGTAATCCGGAAGATTAGGGTTTGAAGATGTTATTCAAGGAGTATAATGCAGTGAAATAAATTTGGAAAGAGAAAAAAGGAAAGGAACATGAAAAATTCAGAAGATTAGAATTTGGGAGAACACAAAGAGTAGATGCACCTGCACCATTGCAAACGATTTTGAACCATGTCATTCAAGGTCTCTAACCATCGGTTGCTATTGTCTCGCGGATCCCAACCAGGTAGTCTCCACCTACCAACATGGCTCATTCCTATTGTTAGTGGCTTCATGGATTTGTGCCATGTTTGGGTCTGGTCACCCCTAGCTTTCTTCCAACCTACTCCTACACCATAAAACAACGCTCAGCGGGGGCAGTTTGTGCTCGGGCATACGTAACGCATATACACAATGCTTTAAGCCATATTGTTTGTGTTAAAGAGCCGATAGTGATGTCACCCGATTATCTAGACCGAAATCAGTGAAGCCCCATGGGATTCGAAATTTGCGAACCCTCGATCTTTGAAAAAATTAGATTTAATTTAACCATCAAGTCATTACCTCATTGATGGATCATCACATTAAGCACCTATCTCCTTATTTTTCGTTGAATTAGGACTTGTTTCATAGATGTTTATTTAAAATCTTTGAGTACACTCATTTTCAAATTATTTTTTATTTTGATGTGTACACAAATTAGTTTAGTGAATCTGGTTTGTCGAACAGTGTCCAGTCTGGTGGAAGTAATTCTCAGCAATCTCTGAGGTATTCGGTTGTGACGACTTCCATCAGGTAAATAAAAATGCTCTTGTATCCGTTATTTTTATTTTTTTCAGGATTCTCTGACAAATATTCCATCTATGTTCAATTTGAAATAATCGGATTAAGTTAAATAGATGAACAAAAATTTTAATTTTTAGAAAATACAATTGAAGATTGTCTTATACTACGGGTTAGGCGACCATTTAAAACCTTAAAGGATTAGTTAGTTGTTTGGTCTTCATATAGGGCTTCTCAGCAGTGCACATCTTTGACCTTGTTTTGAGTCGAACTTCATGATACCGGGTCTATCCGGTAGTCCACATTTTTCAATGTATTCCGTCTGCACAACCATCATTTACCACCACCAGTAATAACTGTATGACTGTTAACTTGGTCGAACTCGACCAGTCATAGCTTCTCACTAGAATTTCAGGAATGCTTCTGAAGATTATATTAAAATGAAATATCTTGTCAGCATTCTTTGGTTTGTAATGATTGTTTAGCTAAAGTCAAACCATCATGTAAACTATCTTTCAAATGAACAATCTCCCTCCGAAGTGCTTTTTTATAATTGGAACAACAAAAACAATTTGAGTTAGTAATTACCAACGTTAATAACCTGTGTATAAGAGAAAAAGGTTTTTTGTGAAATTTGAACCATCAACTAGGTTAGTTTTGATACCAATGAAGTTACAAATCTTCACTGGTAATTCGTCCTAGTGCAAATGTAAGGCTTGATTGGTGGTATTTGGATCATGTTGATTAGTTATTTATAAGTTCCATTAAACCTGGTATAGATATACAGTCGGTTTATGCTTGTTATCATAGTTTACACAGACATAGTCAGAGAGGAAATTAACTAGAAATGAACAAAATGGTCTACATATTATTAGTTGTAGTGCTAAGCAAAACATAGAGAAGATACTTCAAAATGATTGGAAAATGTAAGAAGACGATAAACACTAATTTAATATTCAAACTGAAGATTTGAAGTAAAGAAAGTAATATATAAATTCTTTGTTGTTAACACGGATTCTGAGCCATAGAGTTATTTCACAAAGTCAAACACAAGTAGTGTAGACATTCTGATATTTTTATGTTCTATTGGCTATGTATAATCATATTATATTTAAAGTATGACTATTTCTTTCCTCCCTGCCCTACTTATTGTTCTCTTATCTACAGTTCCCACAATTCCTTATTATCTACATCGACTCCAGTGGATTTAATTAAAAATGGTCCATTATTATCTAGTCCTGATAAATCTCAATTCAGCCTACCATCATCATCATCATTATTTATCAAATCAAATTCACCTAAATTACTTGAATCCAGTATAAATGACGATCTCACTAATTCTCCTACTTCTTCGTTTTCATTTAATTTTTATAATAATCATAATCATAATAATAATTGTTCATCAAAAACAACCTCTCCATTAAAATCAATTCATCAGACAACAAATGGATCGTTAAGTGTTCTGATAACTGATGATAACAACAGTAATAATACTAATAATAATCATTTTGTTATACAAACACCTACAAAAGCATTAAGTGAAGCTGATCAATTATCATTTCATTTAACTAGTCCACCAGCTGTTTTAGGTTCTGCTGGTCGTTATCCTGTTACTAATTTAAATCATAAAACAACAGATTTAGATAAAACTCCAATTGGTTCAAGAATTCCACGTTGTTCACAGATAAGAGGAGATGGTGCACCGTTACGCGTAAGTTTTGTATATGTGCGATGTCAACTTTTTGTTTTTGTTTTACTTTATGATGTTATGCATAGTCTTTTCAAATAAATACACTGACTGAGTTCATAGAGAAACCTTTGTTTACAAAAACTAAGATATTCCAGTCTTAATCGCTTTCAAATCACTTTCAAGTTGTGACAATGAATGTATTCTGTCTCCATTCCTATTGTCAAAAATTAGTACTTGGAATTCTTACAAGTTAAGCGCTTTTGCTGCTTTATTTTAGTTTCTCGTTTTAACATCCTATCGTCAGCTTCTGCATAACCGTTTCGCATTTCGACAACAATAAGTAATCTTTTGGAAGTGAGTCTGGTAAATAGAATGACTTGATCTAACTTTTAAACCTAAGTGTCTTACTAAAACCGTGTGCATAGACGATTTTCCCGAATTTGGTTTATCGAAAATCATTCGGAGAATGAATCAGTATTCGGAAACCATAGAAATATTGTACATATTCAGTGTTCTCATCAACGTAAAAGGTCTACTGGCTGATTTTTCGAGGCTAGGGCCAAGGAAGTGTGATCCTTGACCTTAAGTTTCTACGAGTATGATCCAAAAGGATTTAACATTTCATTAAATATTTCATTTGTTTCCTGGTATATGTTTGTAAGACCTAATTATCGGGATCGTTGAAGGAAAACTATCGGTTGTAGATAATGGATGTATGGATAAATATAAATTTATTCATTTAAAACCGTCGTCAGGCACAATGCTATTGTTCACTTCATGTCTGTAAAGAAACTTCAATCTGTCTCTTGTTATATACGTTTAGGGATTAATTTCAGTTAATTAATATTACTGTCGATCATTTAGTGGCGGTTATTGTAAATAAATTTACAGTTCACTTACACTGACAATTGAACTCCATGTGGTAGTAGATCAGCATGTGAATTATGTTCACTTCAATTGATTGAATACAATAATTTATATGCTTAAATAGACTTTATTGTCTGTTTATCCTCATTAATAGAGTCATGATGAAGCTGCGTAGTTCAACTGTGACTTAGTTTATTAACCCAGTTTTTATAGATTACATATTTACTGATATATTGTGTGCTACTGAATTACTTTTTATTCATATTTCAATGCTTCAGAGACCACTCTGTACCAGGTTGTTTGATAATATTCCAAATAATACTTCTCTTCCTTCAACGTCACTTTCTTCATCGTTTACAGTTAGTAATACTAATCGTAATAATTTGTCCGAGAAAACTTTCTCAACGTTATCCTCTTCAACAACATCATATAATTCCTGTGATGAAGCCAAATGTATAGCTATTCTTACAGCCAAAGCAACTGTTTGGAATCGAGCACTTTTACCAACCACTTCTACATCAACAACTGCGACATCTTCATTGTCAACATCTCAAAAATCTCATCTTTCTTATTTTACTACGAATAATAATAATTGTAACAGATTATTCAATGAGAATGAATTCAACATGAATCCATATCATTCTCTTAACTTTTCAATTTCTAAAGATACAATGATGAATTATCATAATAATCTATATCCTTATAAATCATATTCTCAAATAGTTAATAATGATATTAACTTTAATCCTCCATTAAAACCATTAAAATTTCCTGCTAGAAAACAACCTCATTTAACACTTCGACGTATTGTACAAATTGCTAATGAAGTAAGTTTATATAACAGAAAAAGTTCAATCTGTTGTACATGAAATACAACTTCATTATACAATTACGTATTTGACTAACAATTATCATTTTCATCCCAAATTTATTTCAGTGTATTATACTCTTTAAATAACATCTACAAACACTAATTTTCCTGATTACTGCTTATACTCTTATTACCTCTACCACTACGGGATTTGAATCGACCACTGCATCTCTGTGTTAATGTGGTGTGGCAACTCGAACTGATGTACGTACGTACGAAGTTCTACGTTGTTACTGACTGATGAAATGTAATGAGTTTTAGAGTTCTCATCTGAGACCAGCCCTCAATATTTTGGAAATACTGTTGTTGTTATTGATAAAATGATTTTGTTTTGCAGTGTAGACTACTCTTACCATTAATACTTTTTTCAACCTTATTCAATAAACAGAAGTTCAAATAACCGTTCTCAAGTTTTTATTTATCAATTTTCTCGATAGTCTTCTGAACATACATGGTTTCAATGCAGTTGTTTGGCTTGATTATCACCACAACAACGTTGTCGAGATACATTGTCTGGAAACACATTTTCTACTATCCCAAAAACTATTCATGTCATATGACTGGCTGACTAGAGACAGTCACTAGTATTACATTTATTTCATTGTCATGTTTCCTGTCAATTTATAGAGCTTGTCTACGAACGAGGTGATCTCATACGCTGTTAGAAGTATAGGGGAGTTTTCGCCTTCCGGTTGCCCACACAATGGAAGTATATTTCTTGGGAGACCTCGAAAAGAAACTGGGCTAGCGTTGGTCGTAGTGACCAAGGAGCGTGACTGCTTGAGGTCGATCACACATGATCTTTTTGTTGCAAGTTTTCGATGTGTTAACTTTGTATTTCAGAAGTCCTTACCGTCGGAGATTGAAATCAGTGGTGTAAGGCAAGTTGTGACATTTTAAGATTAACCTTCTCTGACTCCTTTCTTCTGTTGTGAGAAGGCAGCATCGTTGTAGATGCTGGCTATCCGAAAGACATACCTTACTGATGTCTCACCCCTGTATAGTCCAATAGTACGATTTCACTCTCGAATCATGAACTTTCTGTTTTTGGTCTTACCGTTCCCCGACCGAGTTGCTTTATAAGAAACAAGCGTTCCAGCCACTATAGCTTGTTTGCATCATCGCGATATGCAAGCCGAACCACCATGTTAGGGTAGGAGCTATAGTGCGTCTTTTTTTCATTACTACTACGTCATTTTGGTCACTTTTATTATTTCCATGTCATCGTGCTGAGCAGGCATAGGAGCATGGGCCAACGCACATCTGTGCCAGTCTCTATGTTAATGATGCCTGTCTGTCTATCCTATCAATCTCCTTTTTCCTATTTTACTCTAATATGACATCATCATCCTCATACATATTTATCCACCAAGTCTTATATTATTTATAACTGGTTCACATAATTAGGAACAACAGTCACCAATTAATGCTAATTGTCTATGCTCTCTTTGGCTGATTGTTTATTAAATGAATTATACACACTGGGAATATCTGAAAAGACTAACATTTTGACGGAAGGAAGCTAGTTGATTATCACAATTGATTGATTATTCTTTCGTTATTTTAAAATGTTTTATTCAGTATACAGACGTTTTAAATTCATCCTATTTGACTAAACAAAAACATATTAGTTCACCACAAAAATATTTCTTCTATATTTTAATCTCCTATGATGTACCCCAAATAGGTTTTATAAAAATGAAGTATGCTAGTTCCTTTATGTAACTGCTACTTAATCTTATTCTTAGTGTTTCATAATTTGTTCATGTTTTTTTTCTATTCACTACACATGTTTTTTTCAATGTTGGATTATGATTTTTCAGTACAAATACAATACAAAACAGCATGAATCAAGTGCATATGTGCGTAATGCTTATGGTAGATCCACTGAAAGATCAAATTTAGTACATTGTATATCATACTTTGATTTATTTATTTGAACACATAAATATTGGTACAAAAGGGGCACCAGATATATATGTACCACACAATATCATACATGGCCCCCTAATGCCTTGGTAAGGCCGAGAGTGGGAAGGGCCCGCCCTCCCCTTCGAATTGCTCTCACACGACCACCTGTATATAGCCTCTGCTAGGGAAGTCCTACTCACTGCCTTCTCGTGGCAGGGGTGTTGTTTACGGAATTGAGAAGACGAAAAGCGAATATTCGGCGCTTTAACCGGGTTGGTGAACATGGAGGGTCCACCTAAGGGAGTTGGAAAACCCTCATTCCAAACGAATGGTGCACTTGAACTCCAGTATCCTGAGGGAACAAATGGAATATGAACTAATTGTTCGTCATCGGCTACCATAGGACTGCATCTCCTTACAATGCTCCTCTGCCTTGTGAGTCAGGCCTTTAGGTCGAAGCCTCTGGGTGTGGTTCCCTAGGAAAATCACCTGCTTCAGTTTGGGCACCCAGGCAGTATCACAGCCCACACACAAATAAAATGAAATGACGATATCATACTTGTTTAGTAATAATTCATCTCATTTATTTTGAAACTAATCGTTTGTTTTAAATTCACTTAGTGTTGTTTACTTGTATCTTCCCATCGTTATTTAGGTCTGAAATTGATCAGTCTCTTGTTGGCTTTGTGACCTAAGGCAATATCGAGGCGGTCCGCAGAGGATGCTGATAAACCAACAAGAGACTGATCAATTTCAGTCCTAAATATGAATGGGGAGATAGAAGTAAATAACACTAAGTGAATTTAAAACATCACTCCATTACACAAACAGGTGGTTATCAGGACTCAGTAGCTAAGGGGATAACACGATGGCGTTTGAAGCGAACAGTACTTGTTTCGAGTCCCCAGAGTGAACATCAACTCTGGAATGCAAGTACATCCAAGTGACGAGTTCCAAACAAGAAGAGACGCGCATCAAACTGGATTCCACTCCTAGACACTATCCATCTTTGCTTGTATTCGTTTGTTTGTTTAATTAAAAAAAGAAATTGCTAATTAGTATTACTCATCTAATGCATACATATTTCTTTTAAATCTTTCAAAGGATGATTGGCAAGAAGTTGCTTATGGTAATAGCTATGCTTCTCAAACATTAATTCGACTAGCTAAATCATTTACGAACAATTATCAACAACAACAATCTATTAGTGAATTAAATGATCTCTCATCTCATTCATCATTATCTTCACCATTATTGCCTATAATAAAGAGAACAATATCAGAAGAATCAATTAATCATTATTCAATTGATCATCAAGATTGTTTCTTGGAACTAGAACAACCGATGGACAATTATTAATGAGAATTATTCTCTTTTTATCTTTACTTCATTTACTTCGTTTTTAATACAGTATATTTTAAAGTGTGACAACTCGAACTAATGTACGTACGTACGTACGAAGTTCTACGTTGTTACTGACTGACTGATTTTAAAGTGTGACAAATACAATCCCAATTGGATTATATATATATTTAATAGTTTCGAAATTCTCGTTTCGTTTTATTTAACAGTGGATTATTAATTTGTAATCATATGTTAGTTGGTTAGTAATAGGAATGGGTTTTTTATTCTATTTGGTCAAGAAAGAATTTTTGTTTCATTTCAGTCTTTTTTTTCTCTCATATTCTCCCATACCACTTATTACTACAACTCCCTGATCTTCATCTTATGATGATATAGTATACTGGTATGAAAACCAAAATGATGTACTGTACCGTTTTGAGTCCAATCACTCTTTCATGTCTACATACTTTTTACCGCTATTACTACTTTTCTTGAGAATTGATACTTATCATTTGAAGCTGGTTTAAAAGTAACCACAGTTTCTAGTTTTCTTTCTTTGTTTCTTTATTATCATAAGTGATCAGATGGTATCAATTCATCTGAATGAGTGAATGTACGATGTTAATGTTAATTAGGAATCAAATGGATTTGATCTGAAAGTGTATGTATGTGTGTCTATGTATTCGATTTCACTTCAATCTCTATTATCATTATTCTTTAGTCATGATCTTCATAGTTTTATATGTGATTTTCACAGGAAATCACTTATCAATTTGATAGACTTATTATATTATAAATATGTATCATTTCTCATCCTTATTCCGAGTGATTTATATATACTATTGAGAAAAAAATTAATCATATTACTAACAACACTACTCATATTAGTAATATTCATAGTATTGTTTACATATTAACTAGGTGGTTTTTCTTCTCCAAACTAAGCAATTATGTGATATTCATTAAACATATATATATGTATATATATATATATATATATATATATATATATATATATATATATATATATATATATAATTATGAATTCATCTTTGTTTATTGTTACTCTTCACTATGAAATAACTATAGGTGTTCATTATTCTTTTTTCTCATACATTCACTTCTTCAATCTTATGTTATATTTCCTCTTCGTCTTCGTCTTCTTCTTCCTATTACTGTTTATCATTTCATTTTACTTGTAATTCTTATATGAATCGTATGAAATGTGTTACATTCTAATGTAATTTATCATAATTCAAATGATTCATTCTCTATTCTCAATAATCTTTCTTTAATGTTGTGTATACACAATTCATCAACATGTTGTCTACTTTTGTGTATTCGATTACCAAAACCATAAATTCATACTATATTCCCATGGATCCATTATAATTTCTTATTCTTCTTCTCTTAAAATCTAATTATAATAATTACATAACAGTGTTTTTTTGTTTTGTTTTTATCTCTTCTATCTATACCCTTATTGCATGAGAAACTAATTACAATACAATATGATTATACTCTATCCTATATGTCATTTAAGATTATTAACTCATTTATCTCTATCATCTTGTTTTAATGCTTACTTTATAAATAAAAGTCAATTTTATTATATAAAACACAATGTTATTACTTATTACTGGTTTGTTCTTTGTTTTTCTTTGATGATGGATTGAAATGGATATGGTTTGTTGTTCAAATGGTGATGATTGTGATTTTTGTGAAATATTGTTAAGTATGAAATAGGGTACTATTACAACAACAACAACAACTACTACTACTATTACTCATGGTTGTTCAAATCAAATTGATGGTATAGAGCTGGAGTGAAGGGGTGGGGAACCTGGCAAAAACATTTTTACGTATTTTGGTTATAAATCTTTATGTAGTGTATTACAAAACGATAGATCGTTAAATGAGGTCTTTTTAACGGGTTTTCTAAGTAAACCAAATCACTCTTCTCACTCTAGCATAAGAGTTTATTATTTATTTATTTGAACACATAAATATTGATACAAGGTGGCACCAGATATATATGCATCACACAAGTCATTTGATTTGTGTGTGGGCTGTGATACTGCCCGGGTGCCCATGCCGAAGTAGGTGGAGCCTTCGACCTAAAGATCTGGTCCACAAGGCATTGGAGCATCGTAAGGAGATGCAGTCCCATGGTAGCCGGTGACCAACGATTGGTTCATACGCCATTTGTTCCCGCAGGATACTGGAACCCATGTGCACCATTGGTTTGGAATGAGGGTTTTCCAACTCTCCTAGGTGGACTATACGTACCCACCAACCCGGTTAGTGCACTGGACATTCACTTTTTTTCCTGTCAATTTCGTAAACAACAGTGATGCCACGAGAAGGCAGTAGCTTTATACGCATGGCTGTGTGAGAGCGGACTTTCGGCCATACCGCGGCATAAGAGTATGTTTGAAAAAGGTTAGGAGATAGCTACACCAAGGAATAGTGTCTGTTCATGAATTCATTGACTACCAGTGTGCATTGTATCACGATATGTAAAGTTCTTGGTTAAAGTTCACGGAGCTGTGATAAAGCGATGTATAAATACATTAAAAATGATGTGTTAGTACAAAAACATCGGTCATTTATTATGGCCCACATAAATCTTCCTTGTGTTTTCAGAAATGGATTTTTCTAGTGGAGTAAGCTTCTATGGTTTCGCTCCCCCCTCCCGAAAAAAAACTAATCAGAATAAACAAGTGAAAGGAGTATGGTGATAGATTAAAATTTTGTGGAGAACTGCTATAATCAGGAAAATACTAAGCAAAACTGCAACTTTAGAACTGTTCTACCTGATGTTATTATTTAACTTTTTTTTCTATCTAATTAATATAGATTTGGATTATTGTATCTTTGTATTCCCTTCCTTGTAAGCTGTCGTTTAACAACACAAGCTATTGTTGTGCTAAAGTTTTTGTTAATTAATTACATACCTATCACATTGTTCTCTTTCATTCATTGTGTAGTTATGCCTGTATTGTAATTTTTAAATTATATTGATGTGTGGTGATAATTTCACTTTTTATTGACTGTCGAGCCATAAGAATGAAATGCATGATTATACATTACTTAATTTCTATGTTGTCCTTTGTTCTACTTATCGGACGATCGGGCTCTGTAGTACTACTTTCTAGATCAGTAGTCTCTAAATATTGATCTCAGCTGTTATCTCACTATCATCATATCATTGGTACTAGATGAACAATCTAGGGGAAATAATCAATATTCAGACCATATCATACAGGCCCAAACATAACCCTAGCATTTGTTTTCCTTCAGTCATATCAAAGCAAAGCATGAGTGTTTCTGGATCCTATTTAACACCTCTTATGTTTTATAAATCTAAAAAAATGGGGCTAATCCCAGTCAGTAGCTTTGTAGTGAGTGAGAACTCAGTTGAAAAAAGCAATTTACTATTTCATGCAAAATTACACAATGCCTTCGCAAAATGTAAAAACCATACATTAAATACATTATTTGAATATCTTCCTTCGCTTGTCCTGTATGTGCTTCATGATTCTTCCAATTCGTGTCGTTATTACAATTGCTCTCGAGGTGTACATTCAGGTCATGAGCGAGTATTTGATCTTGTTTTATTAATTCCTATTTTATATTCATTAATGTGACCAGAGGACGTAAAATGTTAAGAAATCGATTAATTAGTTGAATAACTCTACCATACAAAGTCAAGAAGATGTGTCAAAACCTAACAGTTTATAAACTTAGTCGTTCATGCGTGGTGTGTAACGTAATTTTGGATAACTGAGCACACTAAGGTCAGCCTGCCTAAACTAGACAGGAGTATTTCCATCTACATATTGTCTTTTTCATCCTAATACCACAGATAGAACGGGTGAATTTGTGGGGAAAGAATACTGAGTCTTGTATGCTTTATCGGTATACAGACTTGATAGTTTTATACCATATAAAACCTTCATGTCTTCTGAAATCAGTGGCTCTGTAACAAGTGTGTAGTGAAAATTGTCCCGCCCTAAACTAATCAAATCTCCACAAACCATTTCATTGAATGGTACTTTTTACTTCTAAATCTTTCTATTATTCAGTCTTTCATGAGTTTAAATTGGGAATTTCACAAATTAAGGATACATTTAAAAATCCGTCTTCAGAAGTTTATATGCACTAACGTATACTTAAATCAGTGACCTAACTTTAGATCTTGGTGTTTTATAATAGGCACAACATCTGTAGACTACTGAGATGATTAAAACTAAGATGAAATGTCTTTGATTTCTAACATTTATGCGGAATAATTGCCCTCATCACTTCTAGTAATTTTAGCATAATTCAGACTCTGAAATGTTGGAGTCTTGGTGATATACACTTTACAAACTGAATTTCATTGTGAAATGACACAACTGAAATACAATGGAAAATAACAAAGCACTGAACAATTGTCTTGATTTAGTTTATGACTTTTTAATGTGTCACGGTTATAGCCTAGAATCTTCTAATCTCATTGCCTGGTTGAGGTTCGTTGGATGAGATAACTCGAAACTAATCTGAGTGTCATAAATGAATTTATTTTGTCTTATTTTAACTCGTAAGTTCCAATAGTTCTTCATAGATGCCTTTACGGATTGTATTTGTCAGTATTTTGTCTTTTCCCACTACCGTTCCTACGGCGGTAATCTCTAATTTATTAATTCGTTTCCTTGTGCTGGTATGACATTACAACCTGTATGTTGATTGTTTAAGTTTTTTTCTGTCGATTTCGTTTGGTTACATAAACTTTCTTCAAATAGAATTAGTCTAAACCAACTACACAATTATGAGTATTATCTAATCATACTTTTTGCACTGTATAGTGATGATATTAATACTACTAATACGAAATTTGAATAGTGGAGATTTGTAGCTCAGGTGAATGATTTGGACGGAGTTTTGTTCTCTGAGCTGGATGGTTTCGTCGTGGAGCTTTCATCGTTCTTCCGAACGACATCATCAAACTTCTACCTGAAGTTTGTGCTGACGATGTCGTTCAGAAGAACGATGAAAGCTCCACGACGAAACCATCCAGCTCAGAGAACAAAATACCACCATAGAATTTGAATATTTTCACAACTTTTGTAATCATGAATAAA